GAAAATACTATGAGACAGATGAAAACAAAAATACAACATAGCAAAACTTATGAGATGCAATGAAAGCAGTGCTCAGATGGAAATTTATAGCTGTAAATGCCTACATTAAAACAGAAAAAAGATCTCAAATCAGTAACTTAACGTTCCATCTTAGGAAAGAAGAAAAAGGAAAGCAAACTAAACCCAAAGGAAAAAGGAAGGAAATAATAAAGATTGGAGTAGCGATAAATGAAACAGAGAATAGAAACCTAATAGCGTAAATCAAGAAAATCAAATTTGGCTTCTTGAAAAGATCAACAAAATCAAGAAACCTCAACTAGACTTACCAAGAAAAAAAGATTAATAAATTACTAAAATCAGGAATAAAAATGGGGACATACTACTGACTTTAAAAAAATAAAAATATTTCTAAGAAAATGAATACATATGTCAAAAAACCAGATAACCTACACGAAATAGACAATTTCCTAGAAAAATGCATCTACCAAAACTGCCTCAAAAACCCAGAAAATCTGAAAAAGTCTATTACAAGGAAAGAAACTGAATCAGCAATCAAAAAACTTCCAACAAAGAAAAGCCCAGGACCAGATAGCTTCACTGATGAATTCTACCAAATGTTTAAGCAATTAACACCAATACTTCTCAAACTCTCCAAAAAATTGAAATAGAGGGAACACTTCCTAACTCATTCTATGAGGCCATTATTACTGTGATACCAAAGCCAGACAAAGATATCACAAGAAAACTACAAACCAATGTCCCTTATAAACATAAATGAAAAAATCCTCAAAAAAAAAAAAAAACTAGCAAACCAAACCCAGTGGCATATTCAAAAGATTATACACCATAACCAAGTGGTATTTATACCAAGAATGCAAGAATAGATCAACATATGTAAATCAACCCATGCAGTACACATTAATAGAATGAAGGAAAAAAACATGATCATCTCAATTGAGACAGAAAAAGCATCTGACAAAACCCAACACCCTTTCATCATAAGAAAAATTCAAAAAACTAGGAACAAAAGAGAACTCTCTCAATTTGATAAAACACATGTATGAAAAACCTACAGCTAACATGATACTTAACGGCGCAAGACCAAAAGCTTTTCCTCTACAATTAGAACAACACAAGGATGCCTGCTGTCATCACATCAATTCAACATTATACTGAAAGTCCTGCACAGGCAATTAGACAAGAAAAAGAAATAAAAGGCATCCAAATTAGAAAAAAAGAAGTAAAACTATCTTTACTTGCAGTTTACCTGATCTTATATATAGAAAATCCCAAAGAATACACAAAAAAATTGTAAGGCCTAATAAATTCAGCAAAGTTGCAGAATACAAGATCAACATATAAAAATCAATTATATTTTTATATGCTAGCAATTAAGAACCAGGAAATGAAATTAAGAAAATCACAAAGAATAAAATACTTAGGAATAAGTTTAAACAAGAAGGTGTTAAAATCTGTACACTGAAAACTACAAAACATTGTTGAAAGAAATTAAAGAAGATCTAAATGTAAAGACATCCCATGGATCAAAAGACTTAATATTACGATGGTAATACTTCCCCAGTTGATCTATAAATGCAATGCCTAACTATCAAAATTCCCATTGCTTTCTTCTTCAGAAATGGACAAGCTGATCCTAAAATTCATATGGAATTATAAGGAACCCTGAAATGCCAAAGCAATCTTGAAAAAATAACAAAATTGGAAGACTGACACTTCTCTATTTCAAAATTTACTACAAAGATACAGTGATCAAAACAGTGTGGTACTGATGTAAGGACAGGCATATGGATCAACGGAATAGAATTGAGAGTCCAGAAATAAACCCATACATCTATAGTCAATTGATTTGCAACAAGGGTGCCAAGATCATTGAATAGGGGGAAGAACAAATAGTGCTGGGATAAATGGATAGCCATGTGAAAGAATGAAGTCAAATCTTTACATCACACCATACACAAAAATTAACTTAATACGGACCAAAGACCTAAATATGAGTTAAAAGTATAAAAATCTTTGAAGAAAATATAGGGGAAAATCTTCATGATCTTGGATTTGGCAATGGATTCTTAGAAATAAGACCAAACACACAAGCAACAGAAGAAAAAAATTGGACTTCATCAAAGCTAAAAATTTTTGTGCATCAAAAGACACTATTAAGAAAGTAAAAGGATAACCCACAAAATGGGACAAGGACGTATAAAGAGTTACTGTGTAATGGCTACTGGGTTTCTTTTTGGGTGAGGAAAATATTCTGGAATTAGGGAGTTGTGATGGTTGCACAACATTGTGAACGTATTGAAAACCACTGAAGTGTACAGTTTAAAATGGTCATTTTTTTAAAAAGTTCCATAGTTATGGTTTTTGCAAAATAGAAAAAGCAGTTGAGAGTTCAACTAAATAGAGAAGTGTTTGTATGAAAAATGCACCTCACGAAAAGTTGTGATGACGATTTTGTTTTCTCTTGTTCTTATTTTTCTTAATCCCAATAACCTGAAATTAGCCCAAAAAAAGTTTCTTAATAAAAAGTTAACTTCTGACTTACATTAAAAATGGGCATAATAAAATATATATATTTAAATTCAATTAAAATAAAACTTCTGCTTCTTTGAAAAATATATGCTTTTAAATGAAAATGACTGGCCTTCCTTATTAAATACTAGCATCAGTCCCAAATGAGACTTAAAATATAATATCTAGTCAACTGCTTTGTATTATACAGTTTTAGGATTTGAAAAGTTGAATGCAACGTGTCAAATTTAAAAACTAATAACATTAACAAAATGTAATTTTTTTCCTAAAAACAAAGACATTCAGTTTAAGTTCTTTAAAATGTTAGAAAAGAAACAATGTTAACATGAAAACAAGTTTTTTCTATTTGATTATTGTCAGAAGTTAGTATTAAAATTCAACTCAGAAGGTAAAAAATAGTTTTATTCTAGAACAACTGATGTGAAAACACATGTGCTTGAGAAATATAAATAGCTATACTATTTGACTGTGTACAGTAAACTTTGCTAAAGGGTCTGGATGTAAACACAACCATTTTTACAGCACCATGAAAGAGCCTAGACCCTCCTTCTATACTACTGTTAGTTTCTCCAAGACACTGAAATGCCACTGCACGGCCCAAGGTGGCCAGAAAAGCAAACCTGTGAACTCCCGCATGAGGACAGGTGGGCTGAACCAACTGAGAGCTTCAGAGGGACTCCCTGGGCCACTTCCTTATCACCAATTCCTTCTCACCCAAACTTCACAGAAAAGGGAATTAGCCCAATAATCAATCGACCTTTCCTAAATTTTCACTTCAAGCTTGAAAAGTAATTTACAATTTAAAAACCATTATATAATTAGAAAATTCCAAATACATAAATCAAAATAATTAACTATTAAATTTGAAGGCAAAGAAAGCCAGAAAGCAAAGCAGATCTAGAGGACTGCAGGCCAGTGCTGCGGACGCCCGTCTTTCCATAAGACACGCAAATCCAAAGACGAACTGCAACTGAAGAGCTGTGTGAATATAACTGTCCCGTTGCAATCAGTCTTTATTATATTTAAAAAATATATTTTGCCATTCTCATAAGGAACGGATAAGGTACAACATTTATATTTCATATTGATAATGGTTTTTCTCTGATGTCAAAGTCCAAGACAGCTGCTATCCCACTTTTTTTTCCTCCAGCTGGGAAGATGAACAAACAATGAGATTTCAAAGGCAAAGTTAACTATATAAAAAGGTATGCCATATATATGACAATTGATTTTTCCTACCCAAAGTCTTACCAAGTACAAAAAAATCTAATGAAAGATGTCTCTTTTCCTACAAATTTAAATTTCAGATTTTTAGCATATACAGATTTGATGTGACTATATTTAAACTATACTGACTAGTTACACTTTTTTAAATGGAGAGGGGGAGACATCATAGTTTCAAACAAATATTACTTAAAAAAAACAGCACTCAGAATATTAGATCTTTTTTTCAGAATGCTTTTGGCATTATGAAATAATGCTAATCACTTTCAATATCTAAAAGAATACAGAGGCCCGGTGTTTCTAAAATGTTAAAATGTATTAAATATTAGTTTGTTCATGTTTATTTAATATCTCCTTAAAAAGGTTAGTTTTTAGGGTATTTTTAATTGATTTACAAACTATATTATATAACAAATTTGATTCACAAAATTATTCTAAATATGATTCATTCATAAATCCCATATATCTTAAAAGTACTAGGTATTTATATTTTCAACAAATTGCCTATTAGACAGTAACAGAAACACACAAATAAATTTCTCTATTTTTAAATAATGAAATAGTGAGAACATTGAATCTGAAATGCTAACAAAACATAGTTAGTTAATATATTAAGTTTTTAGTAATAGCATGTTATCCTTGTTATGGTGCTCATCACTACAAATTAAAAGTCAATTTAGCATACAGAAGTAATTAAATTTGAGAATAATATAATCATATTAAATGTATTAACTTTCTACTTTAAGAATATATTCTTATAAGAAGGTAAATTACAACTTGAAAAACATTACTGCCTAGTTAAGGTATATGAGTACTGCCAAGTACAATACATTATGTCTCTCCATATACATATATAGGATAGTAGATTTAGGAGTGGTAAGAGGTTAGACGATGTGGTCAAACATTTTATTATTATGAGACATGTAAGAATCTTAATGACCTCTGGTTCATGCAGCAAAGACCACAAATAATTCAAGTGCAATTATACCAGTTTGGGGAAACCACTATTTTCATAGTTTTATTAAGTACATAAAGTGAATTCTGAAAAATAGCTATGCAATACAGCATTGTATAATACATTTTCAGCCATTTAAAAGAATCTTTCTGTTGATTTATTTTTAAAGAAGTATAAAATGAATTACAGTACTTTGCAGTTGATAAAAATAATGACTAGGAGAACTGTGTCATAATATAAATTGAACAATATGTAAGAAAAATTACAGTACCTTATGAAGCATATTTTCTACTGTTCTCATATGATTAGCAACACATTCTTTGTCTCTATAAAAAAATAAAAAATTAGGTGTTAGTAAAACCCAAGCCTTACTACAACTGTTACACATTTTAGCATAAGTCACTATTATTGAAAAATAAAGGCTGGTTATCATTGTACTCCTTCTAAAAGTGTAAAACTTAAACATATTTTCATATTTAACTGGAATATGTTCATATTTAACTCATATCTTCAGTTATGCCTGCCATAAATTAGAGGCGGGAAATCTCAAGGATATCTTCAAAGTTAAAAAAAAGTGAAAAAGAAAGAAAAAAAAAATAAATTATGATTACATTATTGATTTAAAATGTGCTGGAAAGGCTAAACTTTTATTCTTTTGGTTTATAATGAACAAAACTTTTAAAATCTTAGTGGTGGTGATATATTTATAAATGACCATATTAGGCAAAATAATATTTTCCTTTCTACATAGACTTTTTATGCTATAAAAATTGCACAAAAATCCTCTATGACCCTGACTAGAGCTATGCAAAGTTACTAATTTCTTCTATCACTTTGTATACTGAATTTAGCCTAAATAATGAAATAAAAAGTGTGAATGAAAATGCTGAAGACAAAAGTTTAATGGTAAATTATAAATTGAGAACTGTAAATAATGTATTAGCTCTCCAAATTTCAAATTAGCTTTCTTTAGTGTTATAAGAACATGCATCCATGATCACAGATCATACACATGCCAAATTCCTGAATTAGTAGCAAGGTTTGAAGACACAATATGAATCTGGAGGTTTTCTAATCTTGTTTTCATTAATCCCAGAATTTTCAGAGCTATAAGACACACTAGAAATTACCTAGGCTAAGCTTCTCCTTTGACATTGGGAAAATAAGACCAAACAGTGACAACAAAAAGCTGATTTAGTCACACTTATATTTTTTAAAAATGACAATTACATATATCTAATATGGTGGTGCAATGTTATAGAGCTTTACAATTTTCAAAAAAACTACTGGTGGCAATTGAAACATGCCAGTATTTTGGCCTTGTATAAACTCATCTTTTCATTACCTATGAGTGATTTTCCAAGCCCACTGGCAAAGCTGTGGATATCCTAAGATTGCAAATTCTCTGTTCCGTGATTTATTTTACAGACTAAATTCATATTTCATGATGTTTTATGCTTAAAAAGAGAGTTTGTCTCAGAAAAATTTTTAATTAATATACATGTTTTTGAAAGTACAGGAATCCAGAGTTCCAAATTTAGAAATCACTGAGTTTATTAAAATTAAGCGTTTGTTTAATCCATAAATAGATTTTCTTTAAGCCATGCTATTGTACAAAGGACTGTCTTAAAGTATTCCATAAAATTTGATGTGGGGCACAAATAAAAATACCCAAGAGAACTGTTCAATTTGAACTTCACAGTGTATGTCAACTTGATTACCTGGTAAAAGGAAAAACACTCTCATCACATTTACATCGTTGCCCACTCTGAAAACTGTACATTTTTTCTGTTTAACATATTAGAATACACAGCTATAAAATGAAATGAATTTTCCATGATGAATATGTTTTTATTGCACTTAAAAAGATCCAATGATACACATGTTGATTGTATACTAACATTTCCTTATGGAAATGTTACTTGCAATATTAGTATACTATAATATACACAGAGCAAAACTTGGAGGGCAGTAGGACAGAAGGGGATGAGCAATATGTGATAGAAGAAACTATGCAAAACTTTCAAATAAAGAGTCTTACATTTCATATTAATGAAAACATAGTTTCAAACATGTAACACTACAACAGAGCCCAAAGTACACATAAAGGTTATACAGAAACTTATGCTTTTCTGAAGTCTCTCAATAAAATATACATTTAGTATATTGAGTCAAGAGTTTTCTTTTTTGAGGATATATCAGAGAATTTCAAAGAAAGACAGCTGTACTTTTGTTTTCTAACACTGTATTATCCAGGGCTAAAACCCGGAGCATGAAAGTAAGAATTGATCTTTTGTCTGTTTTAAGTGATCTCCCCAAGGTCCAAATGCTCACTTGGCTGCCATGCGGAGGGCACTCTCTGCATCATGGATGTTCTCCTCCAGTCGACGCTTGTCCTGCTCCAGCTGGGTAAGATGTCTATTGAGCTGACGCAGAGATTGATCTTTTCTTCTCAGCTCCATCTTTGCCTCGGAGAGGCTCTGCAAGCAGACAGAAAACAGAGTTACTTGTCAGCCCTGATAATTAACTTCAATTTATGCCATAGGCTATTAAACAAAGAAGGATACAGACTGACTGAGAAGTAGACTTGGGTCATTACACATCAAGGTTTAACAAATTTTCTGCAAAAATTTTACATACTTACTAATTAGAAATGATAGAACTGCTAAGATTTTGAAAAATGTTTAGCTACAAAATACAATTCTATTTTATTTTTTAACATACTGCCAGGCAAATAAATTTTACTCTTTGTAAAAACATCTGATTATAAAAATCTCAAGTTGCATTTTCTTTTAATGATTAAAAAAACAAAGATTTCACGGGTGAAAGCATATGAAATTTAGAATCTATTTAAAACAAGAACAATCATATGCCCAAAGTGTGTATGTGATTGAGACGAAGGTGGATTGCAATACCTACAAGAGAATGGGGAATCCAAGACTTAATAGCACCACTGCTTTCTTTATAAATATATCTATAATAGTTAGGTGGCTATAGATGTATCGGTGAACAAACAAATCAGACTCTAAAATAAAATTCACTTACTTCCCATAAATAACTCTCACGTCAAGGATAGCAATACAAATGTGATTAACATGTTTCAACAGAGAAAGTTTTGAATAATACTTGCATTTGGAATTATTTATATCCCATAAATATTTTCCCGGTCACAGAAGTATAAAATCTGTTGATTGATATTTGCTATTTGCTTTAATCTGAAATATTCACCTAGCACAAAAATCTCAAGATCCACGTGTACAACTTTATCTTGGAACTTTAGGGCTAAAGGTCTTAGAATTAGAAACTCACAATTTAAAGGAATATTTTCTAGACCTCATTTAAAATTCTAGGATGTAAAACAGTATAGGGACCAGAGGATCCCTTAGCACTAAAAGCCTCATTCCTTTGCCTATGAAGTTTCTACAATATGAGCTTATCAAACAGTTTTTCCATTAAATTTCTTAGACAGTGAACTAAATAATTGATTGCATACACATAATATTTTTTCTTCTTGCTCAGAGTTTAGCCACACATTAACACAACGATGCTTCAAATATCCAGTAAAAAATAACCAAAATGCGAGGATTTCAAATTCTTCTAATAGTATTCTGTTAATGCATTCACAACAGGTAGTATAAAAAACTCAAGCTGCCTGCATAGAGCTAAAACAATTAATTCAGTCTAAGCGCTAGTAAACTGAAAGAAATCATCAGTCAAATCAGGTATATAAAAATGTTAAAAGTTTTTAAATTGAGTATTTCACTTTTCAAACAGTCAAGTTGCTATCAAACACAAGTCAAAAAATTAAAAATAAGCAAATTGTGACTACTTATTAGATATCATATTTTATTTTAAATCTTTATTATTAACAGAACATCAAGAACATCCCATGATGGAAACAGTCTCTTATTCAAACCAACTTTAAAAAGACAACAAAGAATAGATTTTTAAAAGCCATGCTAAACCTACTTATTCTGTGCCAATGTTAAGATATTTAAAGGCATTGAAGTGTCACGAGATTTCTTTATTTAAAAAAGTAAAACTCATTTGAATCCTTTTTTTTTTTTTTTAAATTTTATTTTTTCCTTTTTCTCCCCAAAGCCCCCCGGTACATAGTTGTGTATTCTTCTAGTTGTGGCATGTGGGACGCTGCCTCAGCGTGGTCTGATGAGCAGTGCCATGTCCGCGCCCAGGATTCGAACTAACGAAACACTGGGCCGCCTGCAGCGGAGCGCGCGAACTTAACCACTCGGCCACGGGGCCAGCCCCATCATTTGAATCCTTTTAAAGGCAGTATGTCTGACATCTTTCAGGGAGTGAAAACCGCTATTTTTCAAATGTGAAGATAAAACTAATGATCCACCACCAGTTACACATAAAGCTTGAATTCTTTTTCCAACAGAAATGATAGATTTGTGCCAATCCATTCAAATTCTCTTGCTCAGTAACTCTTATGACTAGAGGTTTATATTTGTGAGGAGTGTTCAAGATATTGTCTCCAGCCTTGTCCAGATTGCAGCTCACCAATCTGAGAGAACACATGACCTTGGAATCATTGTAAAACACAACTGACTTTTCAGGAATCCTACGATACCCTTTCAAAGAAGATAAAACTCACAGCATTAGAATTTTTACGATGATCTAAATCTTCCTGTTTCCTCTGGCTTTTATCTTCATCTCTCAGGGGCAATGGGAGGGAGCCACCAACCTCTTCTAAAGCCTGCACTATTTCAGAGAGTAGCAGAATAGCCTATTTTAAGACTGAAATTACAGAAAATAAACAAAAAGTGGTATAAACAAAGTGATATGGATTACACTTCCTTGGTTTGAAAATTAGGAGATAGGGGGCTGGCCCAGTGGCACAGCAGTTAAGTGCGCACGTTCCGCTTTGATGGCCCAGGGTTCACGGGTTCAGATCCCAGGTGCGGACATGGCACCGCTTGGCATGCCATGCTGTGGTAGGTGTCCCGCATATAAAATAGAGGAAGATGGGCATGGATGTTAGCTCAGGGCCAATCTTCCTCAGCAAAAAGAGGAGGATTGGCAGCAGATGTTAGCTTAGGGCTGATCTTTATCAAAAAAAAAAGAAAGAAAATTAGGAGATAATATAGTTTTTGAAAAAAGGATAATTGTTGTCATATAACTTATAGACACAGAATTTTCATTTCAAAGAGTTGAGGGACATCACAATGGAGTCTATATACATCAATGGATCCTAAGGTTCATGGAGATGTGTACAAAACACCAAGACATAGAAAGTGATTCAATAATATGTCTTTTCCCTAATAATCACCTTTTTTGTTTTTGATGACAAAAATAGAATCTTTAGAAATCCTAACACTGAGCTTTAAAGAAAGAAAAATGTATTTACATATGTGTACACATATATATCATATACAAACATATGTACCTACACCATACATAATATATATTATATAGCAGATATATAAAATTTTAAGTTCAGCTTTTCTTTTCTCCTGTTCAGATTTATCTAATTAAAACCCATGATAAACTTTATGGACTCTAATATTTCTAACCGAATGACTGAAACCAAGAGGGTGTGCCTCTAGGCAGCAAGGCAACAATGATAAGCAGCAGGTTAGCCACTAATTTCTCAACGAGGGTAGATTGTGAAAGTGTGATGTTCTGATATCCAAGAAACTGTTCAGGAGAGAATAGGATAAATCAAGTTTAATAACTCTGCTCCTAATTGTTCCCCCAATGCTCAACTCTAATTACTTGGAGAACTCTCCTGACTGTCACCTGATATTAAGTTGTTGGAAGCTGAGCCTGGAACAGCGAGATAATCAATAAACATTTAGTGGGGAGAAGAATGAAGATCCTGTTAAGCAGTGGGAACCTGCAGCACCCAAAGCCCTTCTGCTCATGAGAAAACCTATGGGACAGCCATAGTGATTGCAAAGCAATAATCCAAAGCACTGTTTTTAGGCCTTGAGGCCTTTAGGCAACAGTACATTTGAGGAAAAAAGGTTAACACGGTCACCCTAATTACAGCCCACTTTCACATACTTCATATATAAGCGAAGACAAGCCAATTAGGTAGAAAGGAAGATAAGGGAAGTTTTATTTGTATACTAATTAAACCCCTGATGAAATTAAAGGAAAAACATACAGCTCTGTAATTGTGTCTGAGAAAGGTCACTTCAGGTTCAGTTATCAGAACAGCACAGCCTTGAGATATTTCACTTAATCCACAACACAGCCCTCATTTTGTACTCAGGTCTTAATATTTACAAAAAAAAAATATTCAAAGCCTGATACTGCATTTATCTTTAAAGTGTGTTGTGAACAATTTTAGCTGTTAGAAAGTTAGTGCTAAATATGATAATGAGAGTCTTTAAAAAGACAAAAAAAATTCCACCTACACAAGAACCAATGCCACACTATGATTTATCAAAGATCTTGAGTTTTCACTTTAAATCAAAAATGTTTCAAAGCAAAATTTTACAACAAAATCCAAAACTGACTGTATTTCAAAAGCTATTCTGCAATATATTTATTGTATTTCTTTTTAGATGATGTTTTGCTCACCTTCATGTAAAACTGTCATAGTCCAGGAAAAAAAGTCAATGCTTTCACTAAACTACTCTTATAAGAAGATATTTCTACATTTGATTGTTTTCTTAAGATGGTCACAAAAAGTATTTACTACTCATGAAAGCTAGCAGGAAAAATAAGGATACCAAGTAGAGGGAAAGCTTAGGGATAGAATACATGGCAGATATGAATATTAAAAACATATGTGTTTAAATGTCTTTTTTCTTATCTATAGTTTCTGAAGTGTGTATAATAAACATGTATTACTATTGAATAAGAACACAAATTTTTTTTAAGTCACATAATTTCATACATCTAAAGCTTTAAATGTTTATTAAGGCTAACGTTTTTAAAAATGAATTGTAAATATAAATTGAACTTCTATTAGTTTGCACCTATGATAAAACTTTGCGCAGTGGAAATATTTTTAACTAACAGCTTTATTGAGATATAATTCACAAACTACATAATTCACCCTTTTAAAGTATACAGTTCAGTGGGTTTTAGTATATTCACAGAGTTGTGCAACCATCATCAGTGGAGGTCTATTTTGAAAAAGAAGTTCTTTAAAAATAAAAACCACAAAACTTATGAAAACGATATGGCTACCTAAATATTGAATGTCTCATTCACCAAACCCTAATTTTAAACTACACAAGATATACAAAGTTTATAATTTTGTTCAGTAATAGTTTCAAAAATATAAAGTTTGTAACATGAATTCCCTGAATCAGAATATTTGATTAATAAATACGGTTTAGAGGCCTGGCCCCGTGGCCAAGTGGTGAAGTTCACAGTCCGCTTCGGTGGCCCAGGGTTCCCCAGTTTGGATTCTGGGCGCAGACCTAGCACTGCTCATCATGCTGGGGTGGCGTCCCACCTAGAAGAACCAGAACAACTTACAACTAGGCTATACAACTAT